GTCCAATGTCTTTGAGTTAGGCATGAGCTAAATCTTGCCAGCAAATTTACAGAAAATGATATATCGGGTCGGGTATGACCAACAAGATACATCAATGCCCCAATTGCACTGAATTATTATACTTTGGGACCAAGAAAAACTTCATCATATTCCCGAGGACGGAAAATATCTTTACTCGGTTCAAGTGCTCTTACAACCATTGGGATAGTCACTAGATGTGCATTATCCATATAGAATCACTTTAGCACATTTTCTATATACGTTGATTGATGCACAAGGATTTCATCTCTTAGGTGCTCAATTTGTAACCCCAAACAAAATTTCATTTTTCCAAGATCTTTCATCTCGAACTCTTTCTTCAAAAAATCAACTGCAGTTTAAATCTCTTCAAGGGTCCCAATGATATTTAAATCATCAACATATACTACAATAATAACGTATCCAGTTCCAGACTTCTCAATAAAAATATATGGGCAAATATGATCATTCTTATAACCTTCTTTTAACAAAAACTCCCTTAGGCGATTATACCACATGCATTCGAATTGTTTTAGTCTATAGAGGGATCTATTCAATTTTATTGAATAATGTTCTCGAGAACCTGAATTCACCATTTCTGGCAGTTTAAATTCCGCAGGAAGTTTCATATAAATGTTAATATCCAGTGTCCTATACAAATAAGCTGTTACTATATCCATTAGGCGTAAATTAAGCCCTTCTCTTATAGCCACTTATAAAAAATCTAAATGTAGTTGCATCCACCATTGGATAACATGTCTCCTCATAATCAATTCCAGGTCTTTGTGTGTGAATCCTTGTGCAACCAAACGTGTTTTATATCTCCCAATTTCTCCTTTTTCATTTCTTTTACGCACAAAGACCCATTGTATCCCACTAGTTTAACATCTGTAGGTGTACGAATTATTGGTCCAAACACTTCTTTTTTTGCTAGCGATTTCAATTCAACTTAAATTGTTTCTGTCCATTTTTGCAAATTGTCTCTTAGTCTACATTCCTCAATTGGTTCTGGTTCATAATCCTCTTTGCCATTCATAACATCTAGGGCTATATTGCATGCAAAAATATCATCGACGTCGATTTGATTTCGATTTTATTTAATATTGGACATGACATAATCAATAGTGATCTCTTCATTTTCAGGTACTTGAGTTTCTTCTGAAACTATTTTCCCAATAATGTCTAAATTCTCTTCTGGAGATCTTGGTAAAACTATTGTTTCTTCGATTTGACCATCATTATCATTTGCTCATTTTCTTTTCCGAGGATTCTTATCTTTGAAACCAATTGGTCTACCACGCTTCAGGTGTGCATTAGATCCATTAGTAACTAGAATTTTTTCTTCTGGGATGTCAAGTTTTATTGGAGTATTCACAACTGGTATATGTGACTTAGTCACTCTCTTTGGGTCAGTAAATGCGTCTGACAATTCATTAGCTAAACTTTGTAAATGAATAATCTTTTAAACTTCTAATTCACATTGCTTAGTACAAGGATCAAGACGAGACAATGATAATTCTTTCCAATTAATTTCCTTTACCAGTTGTTTGATATCTCCCCCTAGTGTTGGAAAAAATAGACTCGTAAAAATGACAATATGCAAAACGAGAAGTAAATAAATCCCTGGTAAATGGTTCTATATATTTAATTATCGATGGGGATCCAAATCCAACATATATACCCAACCTTCTTGAGGACCCATCTTAATTTTGTGTGGTAGAGCTATTGGAACATATACGACACATCCAAAAGTTCTTAGATGTGATATATTTAGTTCGTGACCATGAACAATTTGTAATGGGAAGATTTTATGATAACCCATTGGCCTTATACGAATTAATGCCGCTGCATGTAAAATTTCATGCCCCCCAAGTAGTGATTGGGAGTTTAGACTTCATGAGTAATGGTCTTGCTATCAATTGAAGTCACTTAATTAAAGATTTTGCTAAACCATTCTGTGTATGAACATAAGCTACAAGATGTTCAACACTTATTCTAATGGACATGCAATAGTCATTAAAAGACTGAGAAGTAAATCATCCATCATTGCCAAGACAAATTGTCTTAATAGAAAAATCTAGAAAATGGGCTCACAATCGAATCAATTGAGCAAGTAACCTCGCAAATGCCAGATTATGAGTTGATAATAAAGATACATAGGACCATCTAGTCGATGCATCGATTAAAACTATAAAGTACCTAAATGGTCTGCATGGGGTTATATAGGTCCACATATATCCCTTGAATTCGTTCTAGAAAAGTAATTGATTTATAATTTATCTTAGTAGGTGATGACCTAATTATCAACTTACCTAGTGAACATGCGGCACATGAAAAATTATTTTGAATAATCTGTTGGCTCTTTAATGAATGTTTGCATCAACTTTCGATTATTTTTCGCATCATAATTGAACCGGGATAGCCTAACCGGTCATGCCAAACAATAAAGTTATCAGTAAACTTTTGGTTTACTAAAGTATGTGTTTTTATTGAATTGATCTTTGTGTAATACAAACAGTAGAAAATGTAGGCAACTTCTAAAGAACTTGTCTTAAGTAATTCTCATAATTTGAAGAAATTCATGATTTCCTTCACTTATAGTCTTAACTTGATATTCATTTTGGCGAATATCTTTAAAACTCAATAAATTTTTTTCAGAATTAGGGGAATATAACGCATAAATGATTTCAAACTTTTTTCCACTTAACAATGTTATATTTGCTCGTTCCGAGCCTTTTACAATGTTTGTACTACCAGCTATAATGCTCACACTTTCTTTTTTTCTTATCTTTAAGTATGGTTTGAGTAGTTGCATAATCTGCTTGACATAAATCTTTATCGTTTAATGCTAATTGCCTTTGAGAGGTATTCATAATTTTCTTCAAAGAGAAAAAATAGTCACAAAAACAATTATAATATCCAAAACATATATCCAAATCCAAATAGTTAAAATATCCAACAACAAAATGTCTCATAAAAGTAATAATAAAATACCCCTCAAACACATAAAACATAGCAATAAAGTCCATAAATTGTGTCCTAGATAATTAAAAATAAACAAAGTTAAAAGAGTTTAGTATGATCAATGAAAATTTATGGACTTAATTATTTTCTTCAGGGGTAAAATAAAAATCAGCAGTTTCCAAGAGAGTTGTATTGTTAGCATCAAAATCACGTTCGCCATCATCATACACAAGGTTTGTCTCTACTTTATTTCCTTTATGTTTTAGTGACTGTTGATAAAGATCAACTAGATCCTTTTGAGTATGACATAGACGTGACCAATGACCTTTTCCTCCACAACGATAGCATTTATTGGTCACATTGTTTTCCTTTTCTTTCTCATGTTTGCTTTCATCTTTACGATCCACTTTCGACGGGAATATGAGTTTCTAAAATGACTATCTTGCCATATCAATATCCACGTCCACGACCATAACCATAACCACGACCACAACCACAGACACATCTATTACTACTGCCATTGGCATGGTTTGTTTCTTTCAATTCTTACTTATTTTTAGTTGTCACATTCGCTTAAGGGAATGGAGCAAAACCAGATGGGCATAATTCATGATTTTTCATTAGTAGCTCATTGTTTTGCTCAGCCACTAGGAGACAAGAAATTAATTCATAATATTTATTAAATACCTTTTCACGATATTGTGTCTGCAGGACAATATTATTTACTTAAAAAGTAGAGTATGTTTTTTTCTAACATTTCTGCATTAGTAATTTCCTCTCTACATAAATTCAACCGTGAAATGATTCTAAACATGGTCGAATTATAATCACTAACAAATTTAAAATCTTGTAATCTTAAAATAGCGAGCTTTGGGCAAAATTATAGTTTTCTGGTGGTCATACCTTTCCTTTAGATTGATCCAAAAGATTTGAGGGTCTTTAACAGTCAAGTATTTAGTCTTAAGACCTTCATGAAGGTGATGTCAAAGGAATATCATGGCTTTAGCCTTATATTGACTTGTTGCTTTATTTCCTTCTTTAATGGTCTCACCAAGACCCTTTGCATCCAAGTGAATTTCAGCATCTAATACCCACGATAAATAGTTCTTTCCAGTGATGTCCAAGGTCATAAATTCAAACTTTGTAAGATTTGTCATGATCACTATTATAATTAAAAATAAATCGATTGGATGAATGTCACTTACTCATACACATACAAAAAATTGTTATAAACATAAGATTAAAATTTAAAAAAATGAATAAATTATAATTAAAATGATAAAGCATGGATAAACTCTAATCTTGATGGTCGATGATAAGAAAGTCAAACAACAAAACATGTTTTACAAGATGAACTAATATATATGAGATATCTAGATTAAATCACTATTACAAACAAGAGACTTGTATTATTGTATATTATAACAAATCATGCAAAGTCATAAATCTCTTTATAAAGTCTCTTAAATAGTAAATCTCAATAAAAGAAGTCATGTAACATGTATTTTTAACAATGATAGTATATTATACCTTAATAGATGCTAGATTATAGAGATCTACATACTTGAGTGAAATTGGTAACGTTGGGTTCACTTTTGCTTAGCCTTGGCAAACACTATTTTCGGATCATTTGCTTTGTTCCTCAAAACAATCCACTAGGTTACTTGAATAATCCCTTTGATAGAGCGTCGTGCCGATAAAGTCTTTTAAAATAAAGGAGATATGTGAGAGAAAATAGAGATAGATGTATCTATTCTTATTTTTCTTTCTTCAATTTTATGAGTACATGAACCCGGGGTGATGAATACTTTTTAATAATTATAATACATATGAAGAGTCAAGTCCTTTGACATTTCATCTTCTCAATTCATTGAAGAATACTAAAAACAACATAATTAAAAGGAATAATAATGACATCCACATAATATATTCATAACATAAATAACATTATTTATTTTAGAGTTGAATATTAATTTTAAACTTTTTGGAACTAGTAAATTGTTAGACCGGGGAGGGGGTTTTTAGTGCAGATAGGGGGATTCGATTCGTTTATTGCAATCTTTATGTACATCATCGAACATTAAATGCACAGAAATTTAGAGTCAATAATACAAATATATGCCCCCTCCTCTCTTTCGTCGTTCAATAATGCATGCGATGGTGAACTATACCATCAGAAAACTTGGCTATGTTTTAGAGCTCTATACGTAATTCGCCCAGAGAGTGAACTGAACTAGAACGAATTACCTTATAGTGCCATCTCAGCCTGCAATGCAGCGAGTTCATCTTGCTCAGCTGTGCGCTTTTGAGGAACAGGTTGAGCCGATTGCCTGCCAGCAGGTACCTGGACCAGAGCTGCAGGAGTAGTTGTTGCAGGTTGGAGAAGCTGCTCTTCCAACTCGGCACCTTCGAGCTCTGCTTCCAATTCATCCTACAGCATCAAAAAAGATCAACTCATTGTTAGATGCATGTAAATGCCTTAAACATCGATAGTAGCAGTAAGAAGGAAAAGAAGAGCGGATAAAAAAAGTAATAACCTCGTCAAAATCAGCTGCCGCTCCGATAGGATTTGAAAGTGCTTCCTGAATCTGTTTCATATTCTCAGTTTGTTCATTGATTTCATCCATTGTTTTGTCAACGTCATCTATATTCCTATAAAGAAGACACTTTTCAGTAAAACAGTGAGACTTAATCGCTGCCTGTGCTTCGCGAAGATCGAAGAAAAACCACTGATTTAGATAAGAGCGAATGCCGAGCTACCACACTTCAATTGTGCGGTAAATAGCAATTCAAAGGGGCATGTACGATGAAGAAAAGCCTATTTAGGTTAACAATAAAAACATATTAGTTATATACGTTGCTTTCTGCATCGCCTTCATTGCTGCTGCTCCGGTTCTCAACACATCTACAGTCTCAGTAGTCACTTTGGCACCTTCTAACAAAATCATCTGTAGAAGTTGATACAGATCAATCAGAACAGCACCATCAAAAATGGAGAAGACACTAAAAAAAGCCTCCTAGGACTCAGTTAAACACTAAATTAAAAAAATTAAGCATACTTGATAGTGAACACGGAGCTGGAAGTTCCCAAGCTGTTCAATTTGCTGTTCATATAGTTTCTTCCTCTTCAGGCACTGTATAGCCGCTGCATAAGAGTAGCATAATGAAAACCAAGAGTCAAAGATATATATCTGGCAAAACAGTGCGCAAAATGGATTTAACTTTTAAACTAAGTCAGTTCAGATGATAAAAAGAAACGTAACTATTTAAACTTTTATTCTAGAAGATTATTGCTAGTTAAAACATCACATGACATGAGCACGTAATAGATCAGAAACTCAAGAATAATATCATAGCATAGTAATGTTAAGTCTGCATCAGAACATCACTTGATGTCTGAAGGTCAATCATTCGGAAATCAAAAGACCCCAGACATGAAACTTGCAATGCTGTAATTTTTGTGTGTTATTTTCTTTTCTTAAGGGGCATCTTCAATCTAATTTGACCTTTACTTCCTTTTGAGGATTGAAATGAACCAAAAGTTTAAGGATGAAAAGGGAAAAACCCGGAGGGAAGGGTGAATTGTTATAGAGGAATCGCCAAATAACTAATATAAAAACTGAAGACCTATGAATAACTATAATGAAGCTCCAACATTGAGTAAACTAGAAGCCATCACTTTATATTGATGGCAAGATAGAATTTGACATCCTCTAATGTGACATATTGATATACAAGCACTAAGAAACCAAACAAAATATTTTCTATAATTCAGTGTCAAGACTCAAGAGTCATATAGTTGAATAAAAAGATCAAGTATTTTTTTCAACAGAGAAAAAATGGGAACCAAGGTAAAACATTTACTATTTGCATAAACATATTGCTTTGTAATAATACCTCTCTTATTTCTCCCTTTGGCATATTCCTTGGCCTTTTCAACCTCTGCAGCAGCCTTTTTCAGAAGTACATTTTCCTTTTTCTCAAGCATTTCTAGGGTCTACTTGATGGAGATCAATATGGGTTCAGTTTAATCAAAATATTGAAGAGAAACAATATAAACCAATTATTTGAAATTAAATAGACGCAATTTGCAGCAACACACGGAATAGAAACCAGAATCAGTTTTATAAACACCATTCTGGACTTTGAAAGCATCTGCAACCAATATACCCAAATTTCTAACCTTATAAAGATGATCATAGTACCATACATGCTTACACAATGAATGACATTCTTTCCTTTTATATATGGTGCTATTAAGCATGAGAAACAAATTAAAGTTATTGGTCAATTTTGGCACCCCATAAACTTTGACGTATATTGAAAAAATTTCACCTTCAAGTCATCAATCATAGTTAACAAATACCGTCCTCCACAATGAATTACATTCTTTCCTTTTATAAATTGTGTTACAAGCATGAGAAACAAATTAAAGTTATCTGTCAATTTTGGCACCGAAACTATGACGTCTATTGCAACATTTTCACCTTCAAGTCATCAAACAAAGTTAACAAATACCATCCTCCACAAGAAGCGAATCTTCCCAATCATGAACGGATGAACTAAAGTGATGAACTCTACTTAATTTATTTCAGCAAGATAAATTCTTTTCTTTTCTTCTTAATAAGAAATTTTGTTCCACTTCAGTTGTTTTTTCAGCGATTGACAGCACTTCCAAAATGTAATCAAACATTTTAAGAATCCACCAAATGAATTGCCAGCAATTCAATTCTTTCAAGCAAATCCCATAACTTCTACCAAATAATGGCTGATAAATTCAACCCACCAACTTCACCAAACGCAATTCTCAAATCCCACAATTCATACAAACGATATCAAACCAAAAAAAAAAAAAACTAAATTCTGAATTGAAGGAAAGAAATCGAGGAAATACCTCATTTAATTTGTCTAACGTGGTTAAAGCATTTGTTTCCGGCTTGGTTTTCCCGAAAAGCCCTTTAAACATGGTTAACTCTCGGCAATTAAACCCTCGATCTTCTGTTTAAAAACAATCATTAATACAATCAGAGATAATACAAACTGTCACATAATCAATCACTCAAAAACGGAAAAAAAGAAAAGTTAAAAAGAAAGACAAAATATTATTGCAAGGGGGGGATGGAGTCCAACCTACTCTGCAAAATTTGAGAAACTAGGGATTTAGGAAGGTGCAAAATATTCGAGCAGGGCTTCAATCCAACTATTAAACCGGTTAAACAAATAATAATTAACCAACAACCGGTTGATCTGGTGGGATGAGACATTATATATTTTAAGCAAGGTTAGGGATTTGAATCTTGATAATTGCAAATAGAACAAATTGAATTAGGAGAGTCCCTTTACTTTTACAATACCGAATCCGGATTAGTTGATCAATAGATTATATATAAGTGGTTATAACAAAAATAATAATAATTAGTGTTGAGAAACAGAATTTTAAATTTATGTAAATCAATCTTAATTGAAAACCTACGAGAGAGCGCGGTAATTGGTAAGCTAAGGTAGCAATGTATTATGTATAATGCTTCTACCTTGTACAAAATCGCTTTGGCTATGGAAAATCATGGCTGCGAAATGTCGTCTGAACCTTTTTAACCATTACTTTGATTATACCATTGAACAACAACATATACTTGGAAAACCCCTTGTGAAATTAGGACGGAAACTTAGAAACGAGAAACACAGTAGCACTAAAAATAGAAAAAAATTAGTAGAGATCGAAAAAATCACTGTATCAGTAACTTTCTGTTGCACCGTTTGCCATTTGGACTCCCGAAACACATTAGATATTCTAACGTCCCAATGCCTCTTTCCATGTTCTTTAAGTCTCCTCGCCAAAGAAAGTTGTATTTCCCACAATTCACATCTCAAAGCATATGGATTACAACTACATTATCACACTCAAATTCAATCAGAGATTTAAATAGCGATTGCGATCACATTTTCAATTGCTTTTATTGTGATTGCGGATAAAGTAGGTGCTATTGAAGAAATTGCAGTTATCATAGTCAAACAATAACGATTTTGGATGACACATTTACAAATATATAAGGTTCACTATATCAATAGCGGAAGCTATTTAAATCCCCGAGTTCAACAATCCTAAACCCACCTTAAGCAGAGGTCAACCCATCATAGAATGATCAAAGTTCTGCTTGAATTACTAAACATAAAACGGCATTCCTGTTGCACCCTAACACCCAGATATCATCTTTGTTTCGTAATAAACATCCTGCAGTTGATTGTGTCTTGCAGACTCACTCGCAGCTTAAGTAGGCAGTCCAAACTTCACGTGATTCAGTCATTTATGAACATTTCTTACCCTGCTCATTCTTTGCATCAATATATTCTCACCGCCATAGGGAACTGTGCTATTGTCTCTTGGCATCCTTTACAAACTGAACATGATGGATCATTGGCCATATCCCTTCAGCACCTTCCACAATCCATTAACAACCTCTATCATGATGCTAGCCATACAAATTGTCAAACCTTTGTCAAATAACCATACACATCAGCAACTGAAAAATTCACCTGTAAATAATTGCACAAGTAGGGTCTTGCACTTTCATTTAGAGAAACAATTCTCTGTGGGTTCGACATCCGAAGCTTTTAGCTTCCACTTTATTACTTGATTTATGACATGTGCATTTACGTCGAATGCTGTAATAATTTTATAGCAAGTTTTTGGCGCCATTACCGGTGAAACAATGGTTTTGCATTAAAGTTGTCTTTTTAGTATTTAGTTATTTATTTTCTTTTATAGGTACCTATTTCTTTTTTTTAGTGATAGTGTATATCTCGCAGCAACGATGATGAAACCTTTTGATCCAGAAATAGAATAAACATTTCTTCACCGTCGAAGAGAAGCTAATAGGAATCGAGCAAACATGAATGTTGGAAATGGTAACAATGCTTTACCACCATTGCAACATGAAGATAACAATGAAATGTTGGCTAGAGATGGATTCAACCAGCCATAATATTACAATAAAGATGACAATAATCGACTTATTAGGGAGCATGTTGTGCCAACACTAGATGATTTGTATCCTGACATTGTTCGACCAACCATTCATGCTGCCAATTTTGAGTTGTAGCAGGTAATGTTTCAAATACTGCAATTCATGGGGTAATATAGCGGTTCATTGGCTGCAGATCTTATATCATCCATTAGAGTGACTCATTTGTATAGCATGGCATACCTGAGGAAGCATTAAAGTTGAAGTTGTTCCCTTATTCGCTCCATGATATAGCTAAAACATTGTTGAAATCTCTACCGCCTGGTGCTATAGCATCATAGAACGAGTTAGCACAAAAATTCTTGATGTGATTCAATCCACCTAATATGAATGCCAAACTAAGGAATGATCTGACATCTTTCAAGCAATTGGAGGATGAAAACTTGTATAAGGCATGAGATCGTTTTAAGGACTTACTGCGTAAATGCCCAATGCACGATTTTTTGTATTGAATACAAATGAAAATATTTTATAACGACGATGGATCATTACTGAAAAAGATCTATAATGAGGCTTATGATATTTTAGAAAGAATATCAAACAATGATTATAAATACCCGAATACGAGGAACATGTTTGGTAAAGGCAATATTGCATTAGTAAATATTGATATTTTCAACTCTATGACTTCTCAAATCTCAACATTAAGGGTGCGTTTGGTTCACGGAATGTAAGATTACCAGTGGGAATAAAAGATTACCAGGAAATAGGATTACTGGGAATGTTGTATTTTGTGTTTGGTTGGTTTAGCAGGAATGTAAGATTACCGTGTTTGGTTAAAGGAATAAAAGATTATTGGAATGTATATTTGACCAAATTGTCCTTATTATATATTTGTATAATATTACAAATTGTAAAATATTTATATATTTTCTTTAAAAAATTAAATTCATAATATTTATATAATTTTTTTTACAAAATTAAAAATATAAAAAAGGTTTAATGAAAGGGTAAATTTTTTTTAACTCCTGAACTTCATATAAAATTTTAATTATAGACTTTTTTTTTGTAAATATAAAATAATTTAAGGATAAATTTGTAATTTAGCCTTCGTAGAATTTTTATTATTCAATGACAGAAGAAGGATATTTTTGAAAAAAAATAAAAATTTAAGGGCATTTTAGTCCAAAACACCGGTATTGTTACAATACCTACGGGAAGAGAGGTAATGACATTCCCGGTAATATACCCCAAAAAATCTACTATTGGTAATAAAACATTACCGGGAATGAGATTCCCGGCCAACCAAACATGATCCTTGAACCAAACACTCCCTAATGGTATGAGTGTTCAAATCCGGGTACTCGATTTTCGCGTACCAAAGTCTTCGGGTATTAGATTTTTCGGCACGTGTCTCGACCCGGATGTTATAGGTATTTGGTACCAAGGTACCCAGATTTTACGGGCACCCGTAATTTGGGTAATCGGGTACCCGATTTTACTTTTTTAAATCATTATTATTTTTTTAAAAAATAAAAATTATATTATTAAAAATATTATATTAATTATTAAACATACGATTATTGGGTGGGTGGGTTTTTTTTTAAATTTTATTAGTTTAATTTAATATGTAAAATTATTAATACATGTAATATTATAATATGTAAAAACTAATTATAACTGAAATGAAATTTTGTGACCTGAGCCCAACTCGAAAAATGTCGGGTAGAGTATTTTTTTTAGAAAAATACCCAATTTTTTTAGTTAGGGTCGTCGGATCGGGTTAACCGGATCAGGTATATTTTAACACCCATAATTAACATACATGATTAAGAAGTTGCAAAAGCCAGGGGGTATGTACGAGGTAAAGATCGCATATCTTCTTTCATGTGTGTATTATGATGATGATCATAACTATGAGGAATTATCACAGAACCTTAAATCCATCTATTATATGAGGACCTACAATATGAATGATAATTCCTATGGCAACACTTGTAATGCCAGCTACCGCAACCATCCCAATTTATTTTGAAGAAGTCAAAATATTACCAATCCACAACATCATCATTACACTCATTAGTAGAAGATGTCTCAACATCAACTACATCAACAAGCAGCGCAACCACAACAACGTCAGAATTACAAAGGACAACATTATACTAAAGCTACCAATCTTACCTCTCCTGAAGCATTAATGAAGCAATACATGGAAAGTCAGTCAACATCATTAAGAGCTTTAGAAAATCAAGTTGGAGAACTGGTGAATGCTCTGAGAAGTAGGCAACAAGTAACACTGCCTAGTGACACTGAAAATCTAAAGACACTTAGGGAACATGCAACGAACATTGTAAGGTCATCAAAACTAGAAGTGGTCTCCATGTTGGAAAGACTACTGAGAAACCTAAAAAGAAGGATGATGAGAGGCTTGAGCACCAAGATAAGGGCAAGAACATGGAAGTGGATTTTGAGACATCTAATATTAATTTTACAACAAGAGAGATATGACAGTGTAGTAATTCAAGGTCATTGCCAGCAACAATGTAACAACACTACTGAATGAAGTACCATACCCATTGTTAAGAAAACCAACTTCAAGGCCTCTACCACCATTTCCTCAATGATTTAAAAAAACTAAGGAAGACCAACAATACCAAGCATTTATTGAGGTTTTTAAGCAACTAACCATCAATATCTCATTGATTGAAGCAAAATCTAAATTACATCAAGTTTATACGAGAAGTTCTTTAAAAAAAAGAAAGACTTGAAGAATTTGAAACTGATGCACTCACCGAAGGATGTAATGTTATGGCCATAAGTCAATTGCCACCAAAACTCAAAGATCTAGGGAGTTTTATTATTCCCTGTATTATTGGTGATCAATTTGTATGTAAAGCATTATGTGACTTAGGTGCTTGCACTAATCTAATGCCAATATCCATTTTCAGGAAATTTGGGAGTGAAGATGCAAGGCCTACCATTGTAACCTTGTAACTTGCTGATTGATCCATTGTACACCCTAGTGGAATTGTTAAGAACATGCTAGTTTAAGTGGACAAGCTCATTTTCCTACCGATTTCATCATATTAGATTGCGAAGTTGATAAGGATGTCCTTATCATACTTGACCGACCTTTCATGGCTATCGGCCATACATTGATTGATGTTGAAAAGGGATAACTTACTATACGTTTGAATGATGAACACATTAATTTCAATGTTTTAAATAATGTTTCATATGTTGATAATTTTGAATGCTATTGGATTGATGTTATTGATGTGTTTGTGCAGGAGCAATTGGATGAATGCTACAACATGGATAATGCTGCGAGCAATGATGTGACAATAGAGGATCTAACCGAGAATGAGGAAGCTGAAGGTAATTACATGTAACACTTTGAGTCATTGGAACTTCCCAATCGACCTATTCAAGCCCCTAAACCCTCAATTAAAGAGCTACCCACCCTTTAATTGAAGCCATTGCATGAGCATTTAAAGCACGCATTTCTTGGAGATAATGAGACTTTCCTGGTAATTATTGCATCGAAGCTCGAAGCATTGCAGGAAGATAAGTTGTTTACGATTCTGAGGCAACATAAACAAGAATTTTCATGGAGCATTGCTGATATCAAAGGCATTAGTCCAGTATTCTGTATACACAAGATATTGCACACCAAAGAAGGTTAAATCTAATTATAAAGAAAATTGTTCGAAATGAAATCATCAAATGGTTCATTTAGTGTGTTCTAAAGAAGGGCGGCATTACCATTGTGACCAATAAAAAGAATAAGTTAGTGACAAAAAGAATCACTATGGCTAGAGGATTTGTATGGACTATAAAAAGTTGAATAAACCTACAAGAAATGACCATTTTTCGTTTCCGTTTATTAATTAAATGGTGGATCGACTAGTTAGAAAAGCTTTCTATTGTTTCCTTGATGGATATAATGGCTATAACCAAATAGATACCCCTTGAAGACCAGGAGAAGACTACTTTCACTTACCCATATGGTATATTTGTCTTCCGAAGAATGTCATTCGGCCTATGTAATGCTCCAGCAATATTCCAACACTGCATGAAGGCAATATTCTCTGATATGATTGAAAACTACTTTAAGATATTTATGGATGACTTCTCTATTTTTAGATGAAATTTTAATCACTACCTTGTTAATTTGGCAACTATGTTGAAGCGAAGTGAAGAAATTAACTTGTTATTACATTGAGAAAAAATGCCATTTCATAGTGATCGAGGGTATAGTGCTATACATTCATCTCTCACCGAGGTATTGAAGTATATAAAGCTAAAGTGGAGTTATTGAGAAGCTACCACATCCTAGTAATGTGAAATATTTGATGAATTTTTAAGACACACTGGGTTTTATCAAAGATTGATCAAGGATTTTTCCCAAATTGCTAAACCATTGTGTTCATTGCTTGAGCAAAATAAGAAATTTTTAGTTGATGATGAAGTGTTGAAGTCCTTTGAAACGATCAAATTAAAGCTATTCAATCCCCATATTGTAATAACACCATATTGGAGTCTTACATTTAAGCTTATGTGCGATGCTTGTGACCAAGGTATCAGTGTAGTGCTGGGGCAAAAGAATTAAAAAGTATTCTATGCTATGCATTATACTAGCAGAACATTGAATCATGCTCAAGTTAATTACACCATAATCGAGAATAAATTACTCGTTGTTGTGTTTTTTTACAAGTTTCGGCCTTACCTTGTTGGAACTAAGGCCATTGTCCATATTGACTATTCAACTATAAAGCATTTGTTTGCCAAGAAAGACATTAAGCCAAGGTTAATAAGATGGGTGCTACTACTTCAAGAATTTGATATTGAAGTCCAAGATAAGAAAGGGTCCAAAAACCAAGTATCTGATCATTTATCTCGCTTGGAATTTGGTATTGAAGATGGAAAAATACTAGAGATTCTGGATTTTTCTTCGATGAGAAATTACTGGTCGTTGAGGCATTACCTTGATATGTGGACTTTGTTAACTATTTGATGAGTGACTTGTTGCCACCTGACTTAGATTACGAAGGACAAAATAAATTCTTACGAGATGATAAAGTATATCATATGGACAAGCCTTACTGATAACTCTCTAAAAGAGTTATCTTTAGTAGACTTTTTCACCTACGTTTAGTTTGAACTTTAGTATTTTTAAGAGCATTTTAGGAGAATAATTATTTAATATTTTTTTACATATTTTGCATATTGAGAATTTAGTGGGTTGTCTAGGGCTGAATTTGAATTTTATTGCTACAAAACTATTACATTGATATTGTAGCATTACAGGAGATGCCGAGTGGATGTTGCAGCAGTCGATGAATCATAAGACGATTAGGAGAACTTTTTAGAATGGGACAACTAGATTGGGAAGCTATCAATGGGCCAGAAACCACCTAAAACGTTGAAGCATTCCATTAGAGAATGAAAAATTCCTCAAGGCTATAATTGAGAGTACTTTGCAAGCTAAAGGGGGGAATTGGAAAACCATTAAAAAAGTACGCATTTCAACATTATTCTGTTATACACCATGGAAGATTAAGCCTCATGCTAGGGACTATTGTAGCACAAGGAGAGCTCGCTAAATAGCATCGATAGTCAGTAACTCACCATCCGAAGCTTACTGTTTGAGAGAGGGAGTGATTTTGGATGTCTTTAAAACTTTGTGGATGATATTTTAGATTGATTACTTCAGGTTTTGTTTTTATACTACTGTTATATGTTATTTACTTTATGATTACTATTAGAAATGGTAGTAATTAAACATATGGTATTTTGATTAATTTTCTAGAAATAGAGTTGATTGATTTGCTGTGCACTTTTGATAGCATTGGTATTGCTGAGCAACATTGTGTATGTTGAAAATCGTACAATCAATTGTTTATCTTTGTTAATACTTTGAATTCTTTAATTAATGAAAGTTGATTAGAGTAGTTCAAAGGTTTTTATCATTTCTAATCCAATAGAAGTAGTATGTTTTATTTACTTAAAGTGTGATTTTTATAATAACGTTCCATGTGATTCGATAGCCGACTTAACGCTCTCTATAGTGTTGTAGCATGACCTGTTTCTCATACTCTGATTTTTATTTTACTTAAGTAGCACCTTTTACATACCCATAATTTTTTAAAGCTTAGACTCTAATACATAACATTTTTCTCCCTGTGGATTCGATACTCATAGCTCTTTGAGCTACCACTTATTACTTGGGAATTGTTGTATACTTGCACTTAAGCTATAACATTTAGCAGCCATGAAGTTTTTGGCTCCATTGCCACGAAGTTTTTGGCTCTGTTGTCAAGAAACATCGATTTGATTTAAAGTTTTCTTTAATTCACTCATTTTGTACTTTGTTTTGTATGCACTTTTAGTTTTTATTTCTACTATTTTATGCCCTGCAACTATAAAGAATTAAAGTCGTTTGATCCATAGATTGAAAGTAATTTTAGGAGACATAGTCGTGAAGCTGCAAGGAACCTAACAACTATGGCTAGATGAGAGAATGATGTTTTACCCCCGTTGCATAATGGAGAGGATGATGAGTTGCCTGTTGACAATAGGAAGAAACAACCATTTTATAATATAGATGCTCGTGACTGACCTATTTGAGAACATGTAGTGCCAGTGTTAGATGATCTGCATCCTAGCATAGTAAGGCTAATGATTAATGCTACAAACTTCAAGTTAAAACTGGTCATGTTCCAAATGCTACAATCCATGGGCTAATATGGAGGGTCCGTTGCTAAATATCCTTGAGCACATTTGAGAGTGTTCATGGAGGTTTGTGATTTGTTTATTCAGTAGGGTGTTCCTGAGGAAGCATTGAAGATGAAGTTATTTCCTTATTCGTTGTGCGATAAAGTAAGAGCATAGTTGAGTTCACTGTCGCCAGGTGTTATAACATCCAGGAATGAGCTAGAACAAAATTTTTTGCGACGATTTAACCCGCCTAATATGAATGCCAAACTTCAAAATGATATAACTTTATTCAAGAAAATACAGGATGGAAGATTGTATGAAGCATAAGAAAGATTCAAGGAATTGTTGTGGAAGTGTCTTATTCATGGGTTTCCACATTAGACTCAAATTTAGATATTTTACAATGGGTTAAATATACACACTCATATGGTGGTTGATGCTTCAGCAAACGGAGCTTTGTTAGATAAAATGTATAGATATTCTGGAGAGGATATCAACTAATGATTGCCAATACCTTAATATAAGGAATATGTTTGGCCAAAGCAATGCTGCAGTAGTAGATTCTAAAGCTTTTAACTCTATGGCATCTTATATTTCAGCATGGACAGATATAGTTAAGAAATTGAAAAAACCATGGAGAATATATGAGGTCAAGGCTATTTCTATCATCACTTTTGTTTATTGTGGAGATAATCACAACTTTGATGAATGCCCCCAAAATCCATAGTTTGTCTACTACGTGTGAAATTATCAACGGAATGATAACATTTTCGGTAACACTTATAATACTAATATAATTAATCATCCAAATCTTTCTTGGAGAAGCCAAAACGTTGCCAATCCACAATAGTAGCATTATAAGCCGTAATATTATAATTAACAACAACTAATGCCACATCCATAAGCACAACATCTCTTGAAGCTTTGATGAAAGGGTACATGGTGAGTCAATCAACATCGTTAAGGGATTTAGAGAATCAAATGGGATAAATGGAAAATTCTCTAAATAATCAGTTATAAGGAACACTACGACTAAAGTGGAATTCATATTGGGGAGCCAGTTGAAGAACCTCAAAAAAATGATATAGAGGCTACTAAGCATGGTAAGGGAAGAAGCAAAGAATTTCAGTTAGAGCCATCTATGAGCCATACCACAACATCAGACATGGGACAATGTAATAAATCAGACTTATTGTTGACAGCAATACCTGCAACATCTGATGCTCCACCAACTTCAATGCTTCAGTAACAACTACCAAAGATGCTTCCACCATTTCCACAATGTTTCAAAAAGACAAAGGAAGATCAACAATATAAAGCTTTCATTTATGTCATTCACCAACTTACAATCAACATCTCATTGATTGAGGCTTTAGAGCAAAACCCAAGGTACATCAAATTCATAAGGGAAGTCCTTTAGAAGAAAAGAAGAATTGGAAAATTTGAGACTTTCGTTCTTACCGAAGGTTGTAGTGCTGTTCCTACAAGTCAATTGCCATCAAAACTTAAAGATCCATATTTGTTTTACTATTCCTTACAATATTGGTAATAAATTTATAGGTAAAGCTTTATGTGACTTGGGTGCTAGCGTAAATCTAATGTCATTATCAATTTTTAGGAAATTTAGGAGTGACGAAGCAAGACTAACTAGAATCATATTGCAACTCGTTGACCGTTCCACCATGCATCCTAGTGGAATTATGAAAAACATGTTTGTGAGAGTAGATAAGTTCATTTTTCCTATGAACTTCATCATTTTGGACTGTGAAGCAGACAAAGATATTCCTATTATTCTTGGTCCCCTATTCCTTTCTATTGGTTGAGCCTTAATTCATGTCGAAAAAAGAGAATCGATCATGCTAAAATAATGATCATATCACTTTTAATGTTTTAAATGATGTTTCTTATATAAACGATAGTCCTCAATGTTTCTCACTTGATGTAATTGATATATTTGTGTAGGAGCATTGGAAAGAATGTGGAAGCACATATAATGTTTTAAAATGAAGTTAGTAAATGCTCCGGTTAGTATATCTCCAGATTTTAGTATACAATCTGAGTTAATGTATGATGCTAGTGATTTTGCAGTTCATGCAGTGGTAGGGCAACATAAGGAAAGAGTGTTTCATGTTATTCATTATGCTAGCAGGACATTAAATGATACTTAGGTTAGCTACACCACAACTGAAAAAGAGTTGTTCGTAGTTGTGTTTGCATTTAACAAGTTTCGTTCTTACTTGGTAGGTATCAAAATAATCATTTATACCGACCATTCAGAGCTGAAGAATTTCTTTTCCAAGAAGGATACGAAGCCTAGATTAATTCAATAGGTTCTTTTACTTTAAGAATTTGACATTGAGATTAGGGATAAAAAAAGGGATCTCAGAATCAAGTGGTTGATCATCTATCTAGATTAGAATCTAGTAGGGAGGATGCCAACATACTAGTAATTTTGGATATTTTCTTGAAGAGGGACTACTTGTTGCTACAACATTACCGTAGTATTCTGACTTTGCCAACTATCTAGTTAGTGGAATAATGCAACTCGATCTTAACTATCAAGGAAGAAAAAAAATTCATGAGAGATGTAAGGCAATTGGGAGGAGTTGTATCTATTCAAACAATGTAATGATCAAATTCTACGGTGATGTATTCCTGAGTGTGAACAACAAAACATTCTATAGTATTTCCATAACACCCCTTATGGAGATTATTTTGGTGGTATGCGTACAATAGAAAATGTGCTCTATTGTGGGTATTACTGGCCATCTCTATTCAAAGATGCTAATGAATATGTGAGGCATTGTGATCGCTGCATGCTAACATGTAATATTTCTTAGTGAAATGAAATACCGATGCAACCTATTTTGGTGATCAAACTTTTTAATGTTTAGGGACTGCATTTTATGGGCCCTTACGCATCTTCTTGCGGCAACCTATTTATTTTAGTTATTGTTAACTATGTTTCTAAATGGGTGGAAGCTGTAGCCTTGGTAACCAGCAATGCTAAAGCAGTATTGCAATTCTTGCAAAAAAATATATTCACTCGCTTTGGAACACCCCAAGCATTTATCAGCGATGAAGGATCTCAATTTATTGGAAATCGGGTTGCTAGAGCACTGCATCGTTATGGTGTGAAGCATATGATTGCTACAACATATCATCCACAAACCAATGGGCAAACTGAGGTCTCCAATCAAAAAATTAAACAAATTCTTGAGAAGCTTATGAATCCTTATAGAAAAGATTGGTCACAACGCCTTGAAGAAGCATTATGGGCTTATAATAATGCTTGCAAGAATCTATTGGGAATGTCTCCTTATCATCTTATTTATGGAAAAACTTGTCATCTACCTATAGAGCTAGAGTATAAGGCTATGTGGGCGTTGAATAAACTAAATTTCAAACTTGACGTTGCAGGAGAAAATGAATGCTAGGACTTAGTAAGCTAGAGGAGCTCAGAAAAAAAGCCTCTGAGAGTTCATGCATTTACAAAGATAAAAGTAAAAAGTAACACAACTAATATATTTTCCATGAAAATTTATCGATGGATAGCAAGTTCTGCTATTTAATTCTCAATTAAAGTTATTTATAGGGAAGTTGTGATCCTATTGGTCTGGTCCTTTTGAATTACTGGAAGTGTTTCCTCATGTCACGGTGTTATTAAAGAACATGGTGCATGGAAGCACATTTAAAGTCAATGGGAAAATTTTAAAGCATTATTTCCATAACAAAAGCCCTAGCATTGCTTCAATTACACTAAGCGATCCTCATCCTTTTTAATTACTTTACATTTTAAATAAGTCAACTTCTTTGATATTTTTTCTTGGTTCTTATTTTTGTTTCTTTGTACAATATTTTGTTGTACACCATTTTTATCCTCCTTAAATTTTTAGCCGTCCACCTTAGCCAATCTTAGCCGTCCGTTCAAAAATCATATCTTTACCTTTGAATTTTAAATTTTAAATCCTATATTTATCCACACTTTCACGTTACCCATTTACTTTTTCTACTTTCACTCTCCTTCCTTTTTTGTGACTCTTTGATAACTACTTTGCTCAACTAAACCTATACCCAATATCTTCTATGGGTCCAAAGAAGAAAGCAAGTGTAAAACCGTCTGGTCGCATTCCAACACCGCCGCCGTCAGTGTTTACACTACAGAAGGTCACTTCGAACGTGATTTTTACTTTCACCAGGGTTTTGACTTCTCTATTGAGGAAGAGCCCCAAGTTTTTTTATTAAATTTCACAAATGATCACAAAGTTAAGATCGGAGAAATTTTGCAATCACCCAAGCGATATTAACCAACAAGTTATCTGGGAGGTTTACAACAATCTCACCGATCAATCAAAACGGTTGGTGTTTGTTTGCGAGAAAATGGTACACTGGTGGGCAAAACCCATAAATGCTCTGTTGGGTATTGTGGATGAGCCTTGTCAAGCATTCGGCATTTATGGAGAATTTGACTAAAGAATCCCTAAAGTAAGTTAAGAGAGAAGTGTGTTTACCCGGGAGATCATGGACAAGATCGACCACCGAAATTCGCACCATCAAGAGACTAAATCTTCACTGATATGCTAGGTTATGGTTCATTTTTCTTCAAACTCAATTAATGCCTATTATGGATTTTTCTTCCATTACTAAGGATATGATATTGTTATTTCATTCTGTCGGGTAGGAAAATTGATGTTGGGCATATTATATCTTCTAAAATGTTTGCTTGTGCTTAGAAGACACTAGGATATTTATATTTTTCATCTTTAATCACTCCACTATGCTATTAAGCACAAGTGGTTTCATTATCTTCTTATCATATCATAAAGAATCATAGCTCGATTACTCATACTGTTGTGAGGCAAACATTCCTGAAAAAAGGAATATACCCTAATATAGTTCATGAAGATCCATCTACTCCCATTGCTACAAAGCAACTCCTGCCTCTGGATGACCAAATTTTGGAATAATTAAAGAGTGCTATAGCATATGTTAGTGCTAAGCAAGATAACATTATGGTGTTACTGAGCCAGACTCCTCAGAATCAATCTCAAATGTATAATGTGCAAGTATAATATTAGGAATTTTCCCGGGGTAGGGATCTAGCAGCTAAGAAAATGTTTTCCTAGTTGTTTATGGAAGCAGAGGGATTGTTCTCAGTTTTCCTGCAAAGATTTTAGAGGATTTGATGCCGCCAGCCATGCCTGATGCTGAGCATAGTTTAGAAAGTACTGACAGTGATGAAGCTACTCAGCCTGTGGTGATGAATAACTGAAGGTTACTGATACAAAATCGTATGAAGATAAGAACAAAATAGAGGATGATAAGAATAGAGTTAAGAGTGAAAAAGAGGTTAAGTTGGAAAATTCCACTGAAGTTCTTGAAGTGGCATCTGAAGATGATGATATTATATAGCAAGCCAACAACCGAAAGAAATGGTCCTTGAAGGAGACGATACTCCAATAGAGAGTTGCTGTATAGTTGTCATGTCTGAATAAGGACAATGGTACGAAGGATGGTACAACTATTGAGGAACATGAATTTGATGCGAAAAAGGTTATATACAAGGTCATTTCTATTGTCGAGCAAGAAACTGTTGTGAGTCTACCTGAGAACACTCCTATTGTACCATCTGTCGACGCTAAGAGACCAGAAGAAGAAGTGAAGCCAAAGTTGAATGCTACAACATCCATCACTTCAGTCTCTGTTACTGCTGTGGCGAAATCCACATCAACATCAGCCAATCAGAAAATGAAGACTTCAGTGAAGGCAAAACAACAACGAAGCGTCTCCATCCCAACATTCCCAGCCCCATAAAGAGCCCAAGAAAACCCACTTAGGGAGTTTTACTTCCCTTTTTCATGTTTTAGTTTATTGTGTTAGTTTTGGCTTTGTGTTTTGGTTGTTGCATGCATTAGGGACAATGTATCCATTAAGTTTGGGGGTTTGTTAGTTAAATATTGCATTTAGGAATATAGTTTTGCATATATGTATTGCATTTGTAAAGTCGTAGGATAATTTTGTGGAAATCAATGAAGTTTTTAAGGGAATTTTAGTGATACCTAATGATGAAAACCATTTAGTATGAAATGCCATGGGATGATGTAGACTCTTATCGAAATTAGGACCCTTAGGAATAATTTGCACACTCTAGGTGTATGTCTTCAACACTTAGATAATTTAGAAAATTTTAAGTTGTAAAAGTCTTATCTTTATTAAATGCTATAGTAAAGTTGTGCAAATATATATATATATAATTTTGAGAGAGCTATAGGAAATAAGTTGGGTAATACTGGTAATAGCTCCAACATAGTGTGAGAAATAAGTTGGAAATCTAACATTGGTAGAGGAATATTGTTGTAGCATTGAAAATCTTTAACAGAGTATGTACAAATTTTTCTAACTTAGTTGAGTATTGATTAGATACACCTAAATTGCATACATTACACTTTGAGGATTCTAATTTTGATTAAATGAAATTGCATTCCCTAATTCGAGTATATATCTATGTTATACAACCAGACCCGGTCCTGACATTTTAAGGGCCCTAGGCCGAAAGGTGAGGACAAGAAGATAAGTGGGGCCTATGCTTAGATTTTTCCCATCATTAAAATAGGGCCCATTGAATTATCATATTTTCGAGTTTTTTAAATAAAAAATGATGTTTAAAAATATTTTTTAATTATTGGGGCACACTAAATTACCATATTTTAAAATATTTGAAATAAAAAAATATGTTTAAAAATATTTTTTAATTACTAAACTTAAAAATAATTTTAAAAATGGGCCCCTCCAAGCTTGGGGTCCTAGGCGGTCGCCCCCTGGCCTATGCCCAGCACCGACCCTGTATACAACATTGGCTGAGGGCTGAAAAGAAACTTACATGCTTAGTTGATTTCATAAAGTTATTCTGTGGTATTACTGTTTGTGCATTCCTTGCATTTTTACTTGAGGGCAAACAAACATCTAGTTTTGGGGTGTGATAACTCTCCAAAAGAGTTATATTTAGTAGCATTTTTCACTTAAGCTTAGTTTGAACTTGATAATTTTTAGGAGCAATTTAGGAGCATAATTTTTTAATTTTACATATTTTGCATATTAAGAATTTAGTGGGTTGTCAATGGTTGAATTTGAATTTTATTTCTACAAAATTGTTACACTGATATTGTAGCATTATAGGAGATGCTCAGTGGATGTTGCAGTAGCCGATGAATCACCAGACGGTGAGGAAAGATTTTTGGAAAGGGACAGCTGGCTTGGGCAACTGTCAATGTGCTGGAAACCACCTGAAAGTGGAAGCATTCCATTAAAGGATGAAAAATTCCTCAAGACTATAAATGGGAGTATTTTGCAAGCTAAAGGGGGGATTGGAAAACCATTTAAAAAGTACTTATTTCCATGTTATTCTGTCATACGCCTTGGAAGCTTAAGCCCCATGCCAAAGACTGTTGCAATATAAGGAGAGCTTGCTGAGTAGATCTAGCAGTTAGTAGATCACCATCCGAAGCTTACTGTTTGAGAGAGGGAGTGACTTTGGATGTCTTTAAAACTTTGTGGATGATATTTTGGATTGATTACTTTATGCTTTGTTTTCTATTACTGTTATGTACTGTTTGCTTTATGATTACTATTAGAAATAGTAGTAATTAAACGTATGGTATTTTGATTAATTTTTTATAAATAGATTTGATTGATTTGTTGTGCACTTTTGATAGCATTGGTATTGCCGAGCAACAATGTGTATGTTGAAAATTTTAAAACCAATTGTTTAACTTTGTTAATATACTTTGAATTCTGTAGTTAATGAAAGTTGATTAGAGTAGTTGAAAGGGTTTTAATAATTGCTAATCACATAAAGTAGTATGCTTTGTTTACTTAAAATGTGATTTTCATGATAACACTCCATGCGATTCGATAGTTGACTTAACGCTATCTGTAGTGCTATAGCATAACCTGGTTTCTCATACTCTGATTTTTATTTCACTTAAATAACATCTTTTATATACCCATAATTTCTTTAAAACTTATACTTTAATGAAGAACATTTTGCTCCCTGTGGATACGATACTCGTAGCTCTTTGAGCTACCACTTATTACTTGGGCATTTATGTATACTTGCACTAAAGCTATAACATTTAGCAACCACCGCTTACCTTTTTAAGCAATACAATTATCCGATCTTAAGGAAATGCATCCCCTGAATATGAACATCAAAGTATTCTTCATCATTGTCATGATGCACAATATGGTGGGCATTTTGGAGGAATGCGTACTGCAGCAAAAATCCTTCAATGTGGTTGCTATTGGACTTTGTTGTTTAAGGATGCCAATGATTTTATCAAGCAATGTTATTGATGCCAACGAACTGGTAGTATTTCTCACCACAATGAAATCCCAATGTATCCTATTTTAGGGATCGAATTATTTGATGTCTTAGGGTTAGATTTCATGGGTCCATATCTATCATCATGTGAAAATATTTTTATCTTAGTCACTGTTGATTACATATCCAAATGGGTCAAAGCTGTAGCACTTCCCACAAGAAATGCTAAAGTGGTCTTAAGGTTTCTCCACAAAAATATTTTTACTCGTTTTGGAACACCTAGAGCATTCATCAGTGATGAAATCTCCCAATTCATTGGTACGTAAGTGGCTAAGGCATTGCAAAGATATGGAGTAAAACATGAATTTTTACAACATATCATCCGCAAAAAAATGATCAAGAAGAAGTTTCTAACCGTAAAATAAAACAAATCACTGAAAAGGTTGTAAATCTTTCAAGGAAGGAGTAGTCATTACACCTTGATGAAGCACTATGGGCTTATAAGACAACTTACAAGACTCTACTAGGCATGTCTCGCTATCACCTAGTATATGGAAAAGCTTGTCATTTACCTGTGGAGATGGAGCACAAAGCTATGTAGGCTTTAAAAAAACTAAACTTTGATTTGGATATTGCTGGGGAAAAATAGATGCTGGATCTCAGTGAATTAGAAAAGCTAAAAAATAATGCTTTTGAGAATTCTAGGATTTACAAAGATAAGAGCAAGAACTAGCATGACAAATATATTTTGCCAAGGCAATTTAATGCTGGACAACATGTCTTGTTATTTAACTCTCGTCTAAAGCGATTTCCTCAGAAGCTTCGATCTTGTTGGTCAAATCCATTTGAATTACTTGATGTTTTTCCACATAGAGTAGTGCTGTTGAAAAACTTAGTGGATGAAAGTACATACAATGTCAATAGGCAACGATTGTAACATTATTGCCAACAACAAAGCCCACACATTGCTACCATTATACTAAGCAAGCCTATTCCTTCTTAATTTCTTATAGTTTTTAATAACTTCGACATAGCTATATTTTCTTTTCTTCTAGTATTTTAATTTTCTTTTATTTTTTGTACATGTATTGCTACATATTAGCTTGCTACATCTCCGTTCTTCTCCAAACTTTGCCTCACAACAATCTTCCCTATTTTGTGTATTTGATGCAACATACAATGCATGCAGTAATAGACAGTTGGACAGTAAAAAATTTAAAGGGTAAAAAGGTAATAATAAGTTGTTCACTACTCTTTACCCATACCATCATCACCGCCTATATTCTCTAATCACCATCATCCATTTACTTCACACCAACTTATCCATCTCTCCAATTTATCTCTTTACACGACCATTTAAAATTCAAAATTAAATTTTATCCTTTCACCATTTGTACACACCACCATTCATACTCTCACGAACCTAAAAGCTCTTTTACTTTACCTTTTTATTTTCCCTTTAACCATTAGCCATTTTCAGTGAAAACCTGATGCAATTTGTGGAAGCTGAGCAGTAACGCAGGTACAAAAAAGATTTCTCCAATTGCGAGTTTTTTTTTTATTAACATGGCTTTGACTTGTCTTCTGTGGATGACCCGCATACCTTTGTGTACATCACTGACACCATTGCAAGGCTTAAATGAGAAATCTTTTATACCTATCCCGATGAGATTGCTCAACAGCTTATTTGGGAGTTCTATAGCAACCTTACGAATGAAGATAAACCTTTGGTTTCCGTTCGAGAAAAAATGGTACACTAGTGGGAAAAACCTATTAACATGCTATTAGGTATTCAGGAGGCTGCATGTGAACACATCGAGTTTGTTAACAACCTCACGGTCGATGCCCTGGAGCAAATCGGGACTGATGTGTGTTTTCCTGGACATACTTGGTGTAAATCTACAATTGGAGTATACACCATCAATAGGTTAGATCTTCATCGACCATCAATGGTATGGTTCACTTTCCTTAGAGCTCGTTTAATGCCTACAATACATTATTCAACTATTACTAAGGATAGAATTTTACATTTGCATTCAATCTTGCTTGGAAGACATATTGATGTTGGAAGAATTATTTCTGTTGAGTTATATTCTTGTGCCCAAAAGACTACATGATATTTGTTTTCACCATCCCTAATCACCTCACTATGTAAAGAAGCACAAGTGCTTATTTTGTCTTCTGACTAGTTATTTGAGAAACGTAGTGCCATCACGCCCGCTTCTATATAAAGAACACTGATTAATGATGGGCTGGACATAGAGAAAAGAAAGGAAGGCACTACTGAGGGTAGTGCAACTACTGACGCTGCTCAACCGTCTGCATCACAAGCTAGCTCTGCCATCCTAGAGTTACAGAGTGCTATAGCATCTGTTGCAGCAAAACAGAAGGGTATTGTCTCAGATGCATAACGCTCAAGTGTAATACTGGAAATACGCTCAAGAGTATGACAAAGCACTTCAAACGATGTTCTCTACAATGTTTAAAGACGGGGTGGCACTGTTTCCAGTTTTTCCAACACAAGTGTTTAATGATCTTAACCAACCAGCAATGTCAACTGAAGAAGACAGTGCGGCCAACACTGAGGAGGAGGATACAAAAACAGATGAGGATGATGATTACAAAGATGTTAAAGCAGAGAAAGATGAGGAGGAGGAAGACATTGATGATGATGATGATGAGAAGGATGACAAGGTGACTTATTCGGAAGCATCTACAGAGCCACTAGCTGTTGACTCTGAGGATGTCAACATACTCAAAGATGATGAGGAGCAAACTAGTCACCAAGAGAAGGAAAAGAGTTTGGAGCTAGATAAAAACCTGGAGAAGCAAGCTGATCGACACTTGCTGGATTTGAATGATGATCAAGCTGCGGATGGGGCTGCAGCTACTGAGGAGCTTAATTTGGATTCTGATCAGATTACTAGCAATATTGTTGTTGAGACTATGAAAACTGGTGCAACCAGTCCACCTAAAAGCTCTGTAGCTAAGAAGATTGACAGTGCTAAGGGACGCATAGAAGAGCCAATAAGTCAAACACCTATACCTGCATTGAAGGTGAAAAATATTGCTGCAACATCTACTACTCCAGTCCCTGATGTTGCTGTGGTGAAAGTCACATCAACGTCAACCACTCAAAAGCGTAAGAGCTCGATAAAGGCCAGGGTGAATGCCAAGCACGTCCGACCTAGTTTGATCGGCTCATGCAAGAGCCCATGGAAACCCAATTAGGAGAGTTTCGTTTATATCTCTCTCGTGTTATTTACTTTTTGTTGTTGATTTTTTTTTTTTTGCATTGATTGAGGACAATTTATCCTTTAGGTTTGGGGGTGTGTTATCCGTTTGTGTTCTTTTGTGATGTTTAGGATATTAAATATTTGTTTGACATTGTTTTTATAATATTAGCATTTTTTTTACAACATTTAGGAATTGAATTTGTAATGCTACATGATTAATGTCTTAAAACCAATGAAGTTTTTAGTAAATTTAAATAATGCCTTATGATGAAAAATGTAAAATGGTGAAATGTTATGGGAATGTTGTAGAAACTTGTTAAAATAGGGTCCATGGAAATTTTTAACACTTTAGGTGTATGTTCTCAATACTTAGAGACATTAGAAATTCTTGAACTTTAAATCTCTTATCTTTATTAGATGCTATAACAATCTTAGTGTTAAAAAAAAAGAAAATCAAATATGTTGGAATAGCTGGTAATGGCTCCAACATTTTAGGAAATAAGTTGGAATAACTAGTAATGGATCCCACAGTTTTTTTAGACAATAAGTTGGAATGCTTCAACATTAGTTTTAGGATGATTGCTACAAAATTAAAAAAATCATTAACTGAGTAGGAACTTTTTTTATAATTTAACTAAGTATTGGTTGGATACACCTAGCCTGCACACTATTACACTTTGTTGATTTTGATTTTAATATTGCATTCACTAATTTGAGATCATGTGTATGTTGTACATATTGTGCTACAATATTCTGAGGGCTGAAAAATAAAATTGAATTCTTGATTTAGTTTGATGGCATTATTCTGCAGCGTTGTTGATTAGTGTAGTTGTATTTCCTTTGCTGTTCATGCTGATTTTCTTTTTCGTTTTAACTTTTCAACCTCGATTTATCTATCTGTTTCTTTCTCTTGTATAAGTTATCGTAATGATATTCTTGTCGTGCATGTTTTCAACCTGGGTGTTCATGTCTTGTTTGGTAGTTTAACAACATATCATCCTTTTTTGCAGGAGAGAGTTTTCTCTAAGAGCTATTGAAATGCAATGCATGGCTTTGGGAACCCTTACCCACTTCCCCAGCCCATCCTTCATCAACTTGGTCAACAAACTCTTATCTGGTATCTGTCATGTTTCTTAGACATCCATGGCTTTAAGTTCATTGGTTTTTAGTTTTTACTATATGGGGAACCAACACCGCTATAGAAGCCATCGAGAAATTTAGTTGAACATCTTGAGCTAATCTTAACATCTGATATCTAAAGATATGATTCGAGTTTGAAACTTGAAATTGCCTGTATGTTCTTTTCAGCAGCCTTGATATATGTCATAGGGTAAGAGTTTCTTTGATAAATTAATATTTCTTTTGCTTTATTAAATGTTTTTTGTTAAAATTTTTAAATTTGATTATAATTATTTTGAATAACTAAATTTTATAAAGTATACGTTTAAAATTTATCTCTTAAGATTTTGAAAATATTTTTTTACATTTTTATTAATAATAAATTTTAAATAATAGAAAATTAAAGTTGAATATTTTTCACAAAAAGGTTAATAAAGATCCATTTTTTTGATATACAATAAAGAACCATTTGAATATAAAAGATGGAGTAATGTATTTATTGACCAAATAAGGTGGTGATACATTATAATATTCTCTCTTTAGAAATATTAAGTTATTAAATATGTGATATATTGATTCAATTATAGTTAAATATTATACGTAGTCACATCAAGTATAGATAATCTTAAGTTAACTTCAATGTAAAATTTAAAATTCTATGAAACAAATTAAAAGAGTAATGTATTTATTGACCAATAAGGTGGTGATACATTATAATATTCTCTCTTTAGAAATATTAAGTTATTAAATATGTGATATATTGATTCAATTATAGTTAAATATTATACGTAGATATGTCACATCAAGTATAGATAATCTTAAAGTTAAATAACTTCAATGTAAAATTTAAAATTCTATGAACAAATTAAAAATAGTTTAAAAGTTTAGTGTATGTCAAGTATGGTTTACCCTAAAAATATTATTATATTCGTTAATAAAAAAGGTTTGATGCACTTTTTAGTGTCTAAAATATAATTTGATGTTTAAAGAATTTTTTTTTTGTTAATAACAGGTACCTAACGTTACACTTTTAGGTGTCTGGACCGTAACGATTGTTAACTTTAATTGTTATCTGACATGTTTCACGCTCTGAGTATTTTATTTTTAATTTAAAAAAAATCCAAACAGTCCCCTCCTCTATTCTTCATTCCATAATTGAGCATAAGAATGGAAAGATGGTTATCGACAACGGAAAGATGGTTGTCGACAATGACAATAACGACCGTCGATGGCAATATTGACAATGATGATAATTAAATTTAGGGTTAGGATTATGGTTAAGGGTTGAGGGGTTTAAGTATTTAGGGATTTTAGGTAATGTCAAAGGTAATTACTGGTTAATGGGAGCGATGATAAGTAAGTGACTTTTCGGCATAGAGATGGTGGTCGGAGTTAACTGGAGATAACTGACGACGGCTGGAAATGTGTTTGAAATTATAGATTTTAGGGTTTGGGGGTTATTTTGAAATTTAAAAAAGAATGGGTTTTTTTATTTGGGGGTGTGATAACTCTTTAAAAGAGTTATCATTTAGGATTTTTTACCTAGGTTAAGTTTGAACTTAAGCATTATTAGGAGCATAATAAGACCATATAGTGAATATGTTTATACATATTGCATCATGAGAGTTAGTTGAGAAACTTTGGGCAGATTTTGATTTTATTGCTGGAAACCGATACACTAATGCTATGGCATTGCTTGAAGTTGTAGAAGATGTTGTGATTAAGCTGTAGCAATTGATAAGTAACTAGACAATTATGGGAATCTTCTGCAAAGGACAGTTGGCGGGGATAGCTGGCATATGGCTGAAATCACCTGAAACATGGAGAAACCTCATTAGTGAAGGGCTGAATTTCTTAGCCTATAAATAGGAGAGTTCCTTGCATCAATGGAGAAGAGATTTTTGACGCCTCTAAATATTTTCTCCATATTTTATCTTTCAACCAGTCATGATTGCCGAAGTCCATTGTTTGGGAGTGCTGTAGCAGATTGGGAGCTTCACTGTATAGTAACGGCAGTTAAGAAGATCTATGTCTACTACTGCTCTTTATTTGAGATAGGGAAGTAGCTAGTAGATTTGGATGTTTTAATTAGTTTCTTGGGATGATATTTTGGTTTGGAAATTAGTCGTTTGTTGAATGTTTTTATTACGATTTATGCTTTTACCTTATGCTTATAAGATGTTGCACTACTAGAGATAATTTTAGAAATATAATTATCTTCTTGTATGTTTGTTGATGATTTTTTTAGAAATGAGATCATTGATAATTCATGGTACTTTTTTTTAGCATTGGTTTTGACAAGAAGCTAGTTTGCATATTGAGATATATGCTGCCAATTATCTAGCATTGTTAATAATTTGATAACTTGAATTGATGACGATTGATTCCTGTTGATTAAATGCCATTAATCTTTGTGAGATTAATGAGTATATGGTTTATTGCATGATTATAGTAAAAACTGCCAAAGATCATCCTAACTTATTCGGTCCTTGACTTAATGTTATCCTTAAAGCTATAGCACTTCCTGACATTTATCACTTTGATTACTATAATTTCTTATATGTTTGCTAGTCATATCATTTCATCTGTATAGCTTTTGAAATCTTTAAAATAACTCTATTTTAATTTGTTTTGCTCTATGTGGGTTTGATATCCGAAGTTTTAGTTTCCACTTTATTATTTTATTTATAACACATTTACTTGTGTTGAATGCTCTAATAGTTTCGTAGCATCAATCATTTTTGATGATTTCAAGAGGAATAAAGAATGGAAGAAAGATGAAGGAATAAGATCACAAAATGATGGATAGAGAAAAGAGGGGGTTAGTGTGTGACCTCACTATATTGAAAGGAAATTTAACATTTCAAAAGTTTATGGGGTGAGTCCTAGCCATTCTTTATTTATCTCTAGATAAAAAAATACTCTTTTTAATTCATGTTGGGCCAATCTAAGCCTAACTCCACCCAAACTTAGGTCTAGGCTTCCTGCAAGCTAAATAATTTATTCAAAGGCCCTATCGAGTTAGCCCGAAACTTAAAACCTGAGATTTGGGGCATTAAAACTCTCCCCTCCTAGAAGGAAATTTCATCCCCGAAATTTAATTGGATAAAAGAGGTGATGGTACTGAATGTGTATATCCTCCTCAATTTCCTAAGTTCCCTCCTCAATGCCATGTTTACTCCACAACATCTTTATTAGAGGAATCCTTTTGGTTCCTTAGCTCATTTATGTCTCTTGCTAATATTTTGATAAGCTTATTCTCATAGGTCATGTCAGGCTCAGCTTGACCTACTTTAGGGGTAAGACATGAGAAGGATTGGAATAGTATTTCCTAAGCATGAATTCATGAAACACATTGTGGATATGCTCCAACTCCGGTGGAAAGCTAACTGGTAAGCCATTGTTCCAACTTTCTCTAGTACCTCATAAGGTCCTATGAAGCACAGGGTCAAATGTCCCTTGTGTCCAAAACAAAGCACCTTCTTCCATAGGGAAACCTTAAGGAACACCTTGTCTCATACTACAAACTTAATATCCTTACGCTTCAGATTTGTGTAAGATCTCTGCCTATTTAAGGATTCTCTCAACCGACTCTAAAATTAAACGAGCATTCTCTTTAGTTTCTTTGATCAAGTTAGGACACACTATTTTACCCTCACTAAGCTTTGTCCAACAAAGTGGAGTTCTACACTTGCGCCCATACAAGGCCTTATATGAAGCCATCTTAATGCTCAATTGGAAATTATTATTGTACGCAAACTCCACTAATGGTAGATGGTCCTCCCAACTACCCCCGATATCTATGATGGTGCACTTAAACATATCCTCTAAGATCTGAATGGCATGTTCTGACTGACCATCTGTCTGAGAGTGGAA